TGGCTGCGTCGGAGTGCATGGTGGGCCAATAGAGTCGACTGTTAGTGCCCTATTTGTAGACTCCGCCCCCTTGCGTGATGCCACATCACCTTTGTGGAGCTCTACGAGTACGTACTTTACTTCTTCTAGGGTGATGCATTTGAGGTATGGTCTTGAGAATGATCTTCTGAGTAGGCGGCCCTCATGAACGGTGAACCGTGTCGCTTTGGCTCTAACCCGCCGCACTTTGTTTTTATCCTTGGGGAATTCATCATTCTCTAAGTAGCACAGGATGGGTGTCATCCACGAGTCATTCGAGGTCTTTGATTAGGTTCAGAGCAATCGCTGAGGTCCATAAATGTACTAATGGGATCGTCGTTGGCCGTTCGGTCATAAGCGCCGAGCCACATTGGCAAGGCTATGCATGGAGTTTTTGGTCCTCAGGATTTGGCTGATCGTGTATTCCTCGAAATATGACTGGAGTTCTTTGGCTATGGTCTGGTACAGTTCATCTGGCATCTTGTGCCTGATAGAGCCTTGGAGTTAGTTCACCCCTAGTTGCGAATCTGATTTCACTTGTATCTTTTTAATCCCCATTCCTTTGGCCAATGGAGTTCGGCGATTAGCCCCATACTCGGCTCCGTGTTGTTTGTTTTGAACCACACGGTAAAACCCCTTCCTTGTTAGCTACCCTCTGGATATCCCTTAATGAGAATCCAAGAATTCATGTCTGGAAAAACGTTGTATTAAAACTTGTGCAAGAATAATAATAATGTCTAAAACATTACTATAATGTAACGCCCACTCGAGGTACGTATCTTTGTATTCCTTAATACCCTAGTTGAATTTTGTTAAAGTTATCTTGAACAAGAAATGAAAGAATGCCTTAAAATTTTATTAGGGGTAAAATGGTATTTTCACTCATAATTAGTTGAAAAAGTGGGGATGAAAAGAATAGAATTTCATGGAGAAGTTAATGAAATGAGGCATTATGTAATTGACTAAGGGACATAGATGACTTTCATGGAGTGCAAGGGCAAAATGTGAAAGAGAGTAATAATATATATTTTGAGTTCATTCTTGAAAATTCTATCATTCTCTACTCCTTCACACGCCACTTTCACTCAAATTCCTCATTTTCTTCATCAAATTTCCAAGGCAATTGAGAGGATTTTTGTTGGATTTTGGTAGATATACAACCCTAAGCTCCAAAGGTAAGAGTTCTTACATATGATGTAGATTAATTTTTAAAGTGTTGAATTCTTTAGTTATATTTTCAGGGTTTAAGAAGAGAAGAGATCTACCTAAAGAGAGAGTTTCTAGTGTGAATACCCAAGATCAATAGTAATCCAACCCTAAGTTTGATTTGAGTAAGTTTGTAGAGATTTTGTACATGTATGTATGTGCTTATGTTTTTAAAAATTTGATGAGATTGATACTTGATGATATTAAAATTCACATGAGATGTAGACTTTGTCTATAGGTGATTGATGGAAGCTTGGTTGAATTTAGAAAAGTTTGAGTAGACTTTATGGAGTGTAGTTTCTTGGCCAGGTTTAGGTTTGATTTAATGGAGTTTTGCTCCAAATATTGGTGGCTTGAGAAGAAGTAGAAGTGTAGCCAATAGATTTTTGAGTATGCATCAATTTGTTTGATGAAATCCAAGAGAAAACATGTTACCATGTTTGCTCTGTCATAGCCGTGACATTCTAAGTGATTCTGGGCATTTTACTGTTGAACTGGGTTGAGATCTAAGCACAAATGTTGTACCCTGTCTCTAAGCTTTAAAATGACCAAGATCACAGCAATCTGATGTGTATAACTCGAGATATGCCTTCTGAATATGGTGTGCAGAATGACTACCTCAAAATTTTTGTAGTCTAATAATCTATGATTGATTTCAGTATGGGAATGTTGTTGGCAAGAAATACTAGTTCTCTAATGATTTTTATATGCCATAATGCATTCTCACATTCTCACATTGTCATTTAGAAGAATAGCAAAGAATGAGCATAGTTCCATGCACATACACATGGATGAGAATAGTAAAGAATAAAGAAAAGAGAAAAAGAATTAATTGTAAAAAGATAAAGAGAAGTTTGTTGTGATGGGGAACCCGTGAGTGACAGAGAAGAATAGTCCCATATACACGCCGCCTTCAGTGAGCGGTCTCAGAATTAGAAAAATAAGTGTACAGTTCGTTAGAAATGTATGTGGATGAGAACTGTACCAATAGAATTTGCCTACATGCACGCCGCCTTCAGTGAGCGGCCTCAGAATCAGAAAGAAGAGTTGTACAGTCCGATAGAAGTGCATGTAGATGAGGACTGTATGTAACGCCCCACTCAGGTTGTAGCTATGCCTCTTACTTTACTCTTGTTAACTTGGAATATTTAATATGGTTTGGTTGGCCCTTGATTGAATGGTGCTTGGTTTGGTTGAGTGGTTGCCCTGAAATTGTAGAGACTTGGTGGAATTTTGGGGTTACTGTCTTCGCTGGTGCGAAGAAGATCGTCGCCGCGGTGATGAGGCCCTGCAACCCACGGTGTAGGTTCTGTGAAGTTTCGCCGGGCAAGAAATAGTCTTCGCCGCAGCGACGAGCCTAACAAAAGTTTAATAGTTTTCTAAAGAATTCTTCCTTTGGGGCACAATACCCATTCTACCCCTATTTAGCAGGAAAAGTGGGAGTGAAATGCAAGGAAATTGCATGGAGAATAGTTTAATTGGGGTGCATTTGTAAAGAATTAAAATGGCAAAAGTGGAATTCTTAAGAAAGAGTAAGGGTAAATAGAAAGATGGAGAAAATATGACTAATAGGGTTTAACTTTAGAAACCCTTCATTCATCTTCTTCCACCGCTCTTTCATTCTCCATTTTCTCTCATCTCCTTCAAGCTTTCAAGGATTTTGAAGGGTTTTTAGTTAGATCTTGGTAGAGAATTGATCTAAGTCATCCTAAGGTAAGATTTCTTACTCTAGATGTGAATTTTACCTATAAGGTGATGAGGTCTTAATGTGTTATTGTTTAAGGTGTAGAGAAAAGTCTTCTACCAAAGGAAAAAGAGAAGTGTTGGTGGAATCACATCATCACAAGTAAGTAAATCCCAACCCAAGTTGAGATTTGAGAATTCTCTTGAGTAGAGATTTAGTAGAATGATGTATGCATGTTTATGTATGTTATTGAGAATTGAGTAGAGATATATGCTCTTGTTAAGAAAATTTGAGAATGAGTATTCATATTGTGTTGTTGGATATATTTTCTTTATAAGAAGTGTTGATGTGTGATGAGTTGAAATGAAGTTGGATGAGATTGAGTATATATTTTGGAGTGTTAATCTATGATAGGGGTTATGCCCATGGAGGAGTTTATTCCCATTTTTGGATGGTTAAAAGAGAAATAGAGTTGTAGTTAGAGAAGAGTTGTTAGATGCACATGAGTTGTTTGATGAAATGCCTAAGGAAGCAGGAGAAGGTTACAAACCTTACTTATTGCAACATTGCATATTGGCATTTCCTAGGTGATTAATGAGCATGAACCATCCATATGCATTAATTGTGCTTGAGAAGTAGCTTGTAAAGAGTAGAGAATTCTTAAAGAGTTAAGCTACATTATGATAGCAGCTAGAAAAGATTAGAGACCTTGTCACAGCTACTCTAAGAGCTAAAGAAGAGAATAGAGTAAGTTGTGCGATGGACCCGTGAGTGATAAGTAGAGTCACGAGAGTGGGTGCTTTGGTCCCCAGCCATGCGTTCGGTAAGATGGGGCCATGACCATCACGTAGAGTGGAACATGAGATTCCAGTCATGCCCTCGGTAAGAAAGGGCCGGGACATTCAAGAGATATAGAAAGAATGTACACTCACATGGCCAAGGGTTCTGAATCCATGCATGACCAATCCGATCGGTAGAGAAATGAGTAAAGTCACATGAGTGGTAGCGCCCAACCGTGCCTCCTCAGATGAGGCCGTGACATTCCAATGATTGAATGAGAAACAAAGAATAGAAGAATAGAAAGAGAAAAGAGTAAAGTCACGAAGACGGGTTGAGTTCCTGGCCGTCCTTCGGTAAGATAGGCCTGACATACACCAGAGGGTGTTAAAAGAAGAATAAAACAAACAAAAAGAGAACAGAGATGAAAAGAATAGTGTAAGGAAAGAATTCAGAAAGTGTTACGGGGATAGGCAAGTAGAGGATTTACTTACTAAGCATTAGTTGTGCTCACCCCATTGTTTCTATGCTTTTGCAGGTTCCAGGTGAGTACGCAGTCGGATGGACGTTAGCAGCGAGAGAGAGTAGTTACACTGTCCCACCACTTTTGAGAACTTTTTTAAATGATACTAGCTTTATGTAAAGAATATGTATATTAAATGAAGAAACTTTTGGGCCCAACAATTTTTATTAATGTACCTTTATTTTATTGTATGTTCTCAAACAAATTTAAAATGAGCTAAATTATTTAAACCCATTTGTGAAATCTATAGTCTTGTTGGATAATCTTTCACATTCTCACAGTAGCACTGAGCATTTCAGGTTTGCACATAACCTGCTTGACAATATTCCTCAGAGGATTTTTTTAAAGTTTGTAATAACCCAAGGGATTGTCTTGTTTCGAACTGGGTAATCTTGTTTTATGGATGTTTGAAAGTGATTCAAGATGTTATTTCTAATACTAAGAATACCGGGAATACAAATAGAAAATAATATGAACTATATCAAATTCGTATTGCTATGTATAAATAGGAATAAGCTTATTATCCAATGTATTTATATCCTACTCAATAATCCGATTATGCATTGTCCTGTGCTCGCTCTAAATATCGCCTGATTTTCGCATTCAAACTAGGCTTATAGTGTTGGAGTATTCTTTTGTAAATATGTTGTAATGTTCAGTGCTATCTATGTAGTAGGGTACCTGTTGCATCATTTCTGTCATGTTATTCATACTACGATAGAGAGTACTTATTGGACTCTTTTATCATGAGTTTGTTTGAGCATGTGGAATGAATGGTTAAGCTGAAGTCATGAAATGTAAAAAAGAAATTTTACTTCATTTGTTTCACATATTTTATTCCTTGTTTGTTAGGTGAGACATACTACTTATGACCAGTTCGAATCTGATGAACTGATCAGGAATATAGCGAAGGATGAATGTTTTGAAGAGGTATGTTTTGCGATTGTTCATATCATTGAAGTACATTACAGCAAATGTATTGGACAGAACCAATGGGTGGATTGTTGCAACAGCATCGACAGTTGAAAATTCTGTTAAAAACTCACTTGAATGTGGTCGGTCCTGCAATGCCAAGGCAGCAACAGTTGTGGGAGAGGTCTTGACTATGCGACTCAAAGTGGAGGGCCTTGAACAAGGACAAGGAAGACGGATTCATGTCAATGTAAACAAAGAAGTTGAGAAAAAAGGTTTCAAGAACGGCACCGAAATATGGGCAATTGTCAATGCGCTCAAGAACAATGGAGTCAAACTCATTCTTGACGACAATGATGATGATGTTTCCAGGCCAAGTTTCTGATAAGTTTTGGCTTTATCGTTTTTTCTTTTTAGTCTTCTTCACTAAATGTTTAGATTTCTATGTAGAAGGTAGTTTATACATGTTTACTAGCGAAACGAAAGTGAGAGAATTGCTCTCATTATTTATTTGCGTTGCCATATATTTATATCAAACAAGAATCCCATTGGGAAAATTTTATTTATTCTATCAACACTCGATTTTATTGATAAAAAAATATTGGCATCCAGACAGCTATGCTTCATGCTCTTAATTCATTTTGCATAAAAGAGTGAACATAGCAATACAAATCTCTTTATTCAATGACACATAAATTGGTATTTGAGTCAATCTGAACAACACCAACAATTAGAATCAAATCAATACTAATCTCCAACATTAACATCTCTTAATATGAGCACACTTTTTTCTTCCATAAAATGAGTCAATAATTCACCATTAAATTTTCTAATAAAGTTTTTTATTTAAAATGTGAATAATGTCAGTTTGGATATAATAAACACGACAAAAAAACGAGTAAACAACTTTTTCCCGATAATGGTTTAATGATACTTTTTTCACACAGACTTAAATTTATATTTCGTCTCCGATTCCAGCATCATTGCGATTTTACACCACCACATTTCTCTTTTCTGATCATCACTTAAAACCTCTCAAACCCTACTCCTACCGACCCTGCCAATCGTTAGCAATCGAGCGATTAGGGTTTGCATAGCCACCTCTCCCAAGTCAAATTCGATCAATCTTAACCACCAAAATCTAACATTCCACTATCAAAAGATTCATCGGCCTTCCCTCTTCAAAAGCCCTAACAACTTGGACTGAGTTTGCTCTCCGTCCACCATTGGAATATAAATTTAGATAATGAAATGATATTTTAAAAGTTTGCCGGTGAGAAAGTGTTATTAAGTCATTATTTGGGTAGAAAAAAGTAGTTAACTGATAGCAAAACCCATCAAAAAGTTTGTCTTATATGCAGACGAATTAATATTTTGCTCAAATTTCAACTAAATAATTAATGACTTATCTCATTTTTGCCTTATTTTAGAACAATAAATTTAATTTTATCAAGGAAAGTCTTCCCTCTCTACCAAATCCTCCAGAATTACGGCAAGAAAATGGAAAGTCAAATCTCACAAAACCACAGAAATAAGTCAACTTTCCAATTGTATTATTAGTTATGATTATGATGTACATCAGTATATAATACTGTATATTGTCGAACTTTCTATCATTGATTTTCGGTCTATAGAAGACTGACTTTATATTTTTTTAAGGATTTATTTTATTTTCGGTCCTGTGAGATCGTTAAGTATAAATCATTCATTTTGTTTAGAAAGTATTAAAAACACCCTTATAATTATCATAAACTCTCTAGAATATATATTAAAAAAAATCTCTTAAAACTATCCAACACCACCGTACAAAATATCAAGTACCTCCAAATATAACCAATCTCATATTTATACTTCTGAACAAAGTAGATGAGTTTAATATAACCAATCTAATAAGAGGGAAAATTATATAATTCCATTTTTAAAATGAGCGATGCTATTGACCCTCACATTTTATCTCTTTAGATCCCAATTATTAATAAATTTTTAATGACAATTTTATCTCTTATTGAAATTACTAAATAAGACAAAAAATAGTTAAATGTATCTAAAAATTTTATTTCCTCTTTTAATCATAAACCCTAATTCTCTTTTCGTACAATGAAGACGAAATTTATATAATTGAGAGTTTGATCAAGCTCATATAAGTACAAGGGACATGAAATACATGCTTTGCAATTTTAAGTTGTTTTGTTAATTTTCCTTTACCTTTTCTCTTCTGACGCACTTCCCCAAAGTTTATAAGTTAGTTTGATTCATTATTTTTTAATTATGATTCTTACAATCTTGGAAGTAAAAACAAATGTGAATGGATTTCATCTTTGAACCTTACGTTCAAGACAAGAAGTATAAAAAATATGAATAAAAGGGGTTTTTTTTTGGAAGTAGGTGGGATTTATAAAGACATTTGCATCACTCTTTAAAATTTATGAAACTATGGGTAGCATTCATACTTATTTTAAATCCATGTGACTCTTTAATTAGAGTAGGTGAGTTTTGGTGGGGATGAACTATGAGACAAATACATAATTCCTATTCAATATTATGTTCATAAAATAGTGTCTGTTTTTTAGAGTCCATAAAATATTTTAATTTAACTTAATGTTAACAATTTCAAGTTAAAATAGTATTTAATTTAATAATATCGATTTAATAACTGTAAAAACCCAGATTAAAAAATAAATAAATAATTGAAATGAAAAAAGAAAGACAAAAACATTAGATGGTGAATACTGCTTTATGATAAATTATTTATTAAGATGATGAATTGTAAACGCTAAAATTTACAATAGAGTTGAAGACTAAATCTTGTGAAGAGAGCCACTGACAACCTTGGTGGACTTACGGGGTGCCTCCTAGTGTCTCTCAGGGAATCCAAGCAATGCCAGGGGATTGAAGTAGATTATGGGTTTGGTGATATGAGCAATAGAGTTTTCTAATGATCTTTTTCTCCCCCTTATGGGTGGGCTGACCTTAGCTTATATAGTGAACCGCGGGGGCTCGAATCATAGTAAGACTCTAAGTCTTTTTTGGTAAGGGAATTCTCTTTTCAAGAAGAGATTGGATTCTTAGCCTCTATGTGTCGAGGCTTTGTCGGTAGAGGAGTTTGGTTAGGATTCTAATCCTTGTTATGGACTGCTGCGGGCGAATAGGCCAGACCCAGTTCAGCTTAACTCGGGGGATGGCCTAACTCAGGGGATGGCCCAACTCATAGAACAGGCAGTTCCCAAGGTGTTCTAAGCGTGGGTCCAATTAGGATTAGGCCAAGGCTCTGGGCCGTCATTTATTACTGTTGTAGTTGAACCTCGTCAGGTCCAATACGAAGTTTGGCCCATATAGTTTGTCCCCCACTCTCTTAAGTTAAAGAGTATTTAGCTTAAGAGAGTAGAATCAATTATCTGTGTACGGGACACGGGTTGGCCATGGTTTTTCAACAGGTTGCTTTGTCATCGAGGCGTCATTGGGATGCGCATGAGTCGGCTCAGTTCGAGTTGCCGAGCCGAACTAAAAAGAGGGTGTGGAGGTTGTGGTTATAAAGCTCGAGCTTGCCAGCTCGGCGAGGTTCGGCTCGAGGAAGGGTATCCGATCGGGGTGAGGTGTTTGTCCTTAGGGTCGTTTTTGTGTGTTTATCAGATGTTAACCTAGCCCGTAACGTCTTGGGCTTCGTTCGGCCAACTGGATGCATGTTGGTGACCTCGGCAGGGCTTACCAGGATGTCACCAATTTTTCGAGGAGACACTGGTATGACAGTATGGGTCCTTATCGTGCGGTAGAGGCGTCTTATCGAGACTAGCATAGCCAGTTCAGCTCGGAGGGGCTAAAAGGAACCCGAGTTGGCACGACTTAGGCGTGTGAGCCTCTCGTTTGATGTAAGCCACGTGTAGATTCAAGAGGTGGGAAACGAAAAGTCTCTGGCCTCCGGCTGCCAATGAGATTGCGCCACCTGTCCCCTATCAATTTGGGTTTTTTAAAGGCGACGACCCTTCATTCTTGTCATTCTTCGAGTTCAAGTTCATTTAGGAGAGAGAGAACATCGACTTCACTTATTCTTTTGAGAGTTTCACATTTTCTATGTAACGCCCCACATGAGGTACGTAGGCGAAAGAGATGAGTTGAGTACCGCTCTTGGGCCAGAGATGACTCAGAAACTAGTAGAAGATGTGAAGTTAATCCGAAATAGAATGAAACAAGCCTAAGATCAACAGAAGAGTTATGCCGACTTGAAGAGGAAAGAGGTAGAATTCCAAGTGGGCGACAAAGTGTTTCTGAAAGTTTCCCCCTACAAGCGAGTAATGCGCTTCGGAAGCAAAGGGAAGTTAGCACCGAGGTATGTAGGTCCTTTTGAGGTCTTGCACGAGTAGGAAAGGTGGCCTACAGATTGGCACTACCACCTAGCATGGACAGGTGCACGATGTCTTCCATGTCTCGATGCTACGGAAATATGTAAGTGATCCCCTCCACATCCTGAGCGTAGAGGACGTTGAAGTAACAGAGAATCTAGTATATGAAGAACGTCCAGTTCAGATTTTATCGATAGGGTTAAAGAACTTCGGAACAAGAGTGTTCCGCTAGTGAAGGTCCTTTGGAGGAATCACAAAGTGGAAGAGGCCACTTGGGAATAGAGCGGGACATGCAAAATCGTTTCCCAGAGTTATTTGCATGAATTTCGGGGACGAAATTCTTTTAAGGGGGAAGAATTGTAACGCCCCACATGAGGTACGTAGTTATTGTTGCTCTTTCGCTCTTATTTGAGTTGGTTTTGGTAATATTGTTTGATTGATGTTGTGTTGAATGCTTGCCCTGAAATTGGTTGAAAATAGAAAAGTTCAGTGTGCCAAGCTTCGCCGGGCGAAGAAAATCTTCGCCGTGGCGAAGATGTGTTGAACCACGGAAAAACTCTCTGGGCAGTTTCGCCGCGACGACAGAAGCTTCTTCGCCGCGGCGACAGCCGATTGAAATGTTGTTAAGTTTTAGATATTTTCTTCCCTAAGGGCAATTTGACCATTCTACCCTAATTAGCAGGAAAAGTGGGGAGTTAATGTAGGATTTTTCATGGAGAATATGTTGATATGGGGGTGAGTTTGTAATGAATCAAAGGATATGATGGAATTCCCAAAGAAGAGTAAGGCAAAATGGGAATGCTTGGTTATAAATTACATTAAAAGAATTAATAAGCAAACCCCTCATTCTTCTTCTCAAAAACGCAACTCTCCATTCTTGTTCCTCTCAACTTTTCTTTCTTTTGATCAAGGAGTTCCAAGGGGTTTTTTTTGAAGTATTTGGGGTAGAAAATCAACCTAAGGCTTCCTAAGGTAGGTTTCTTACTTTAGTTGTGAAACTTGTGAGTTTTAGTTTATATTGAAGTTTGAGGTTTTGTTCTTTTGGTTAAGAGTAGAAAAAAGTCAAGCAAACCAAGTGAAAGGAAGAGTTGGTGAAGTCTCCCATAACAAGGTAAGTAAACCCTAACCCAAGTTGAGATTTAAGAATTTTCTGATTAGGGTTTTGATAGAAATGATGTAGGTATGTGACATACATGTGATAGCCATGTATGGAGGTTTAAAATAATTTCTATGCC